CACATCAAATAGAGAGCATTCCAGTTTGTGTCGAGGCTGGACGACACAGCTGGAAAATGTAAAATACTTCATTATAGTCTGAACACATGGAGAAAGTTGGATTATTTTCCAGCGATAAAAAAAGCCGAAATGTGTGTTTATAGCATATCTGAGTGTATAGTTTGGACCGAGACAACTTCTTTTTACTTTCAAATGACAAACAAGTGGCTTTAATCCTGTTTTTAACAAAGATCAGAAAGAAAAAGGTTTTAATTTGAATCTATCTACTTTAGCCTATTTATCAAGGCACACAGGCAGCAATTTGAAAGTCTAACTGACAATATAACACAAAAATAAATTAATTTACACATATTAATGAATATAAATATGGATTTGAGCTTGACACACATTTAGTTGAGTTCAAAGTGGATCACCAGGACCGGGTGTCACTGGACGTAAAGCTGATCAGTTCTCGAAGTAGAAGCAGGAAGTAATGATGGAAACGTCGTTTTCAGGCCATGAAGCTGTTCTCCATTAGTCACAGCCTTCACTCAGAGAGGTCTGCACTGGATGGACTGAACGGAGGGACTAGCATGCCTTGGGAGACCTGGACCGGAGGGGGACCAACGGGCGCCGTTAAGGGTTCGTAACTCATGCATTCCGGTGAAACTATTTCACTTTGTACTGAACATTTTTCTTATTTGCTGCTGATGAAACGCCGATCGTCCAGGCCTAGATATCAGCTATACAGCACATTTTAGAAACTTAAACGATGAGCTTTGAAGGCATTTTGTAAAACATACACCAGAGGCACTGACTGAGCGCGCTCTGCATCACGCATAGCCCGCTAACGAGCTTCAGAGAGCGACAAAAAATGTGTTAAAAAGGCAAATAACAAATATTAGACTGCCTTGAAGCCCTTTCAAACAGAACACGGGCTGCGGGGTTCTGCTCATTTCTCTGAAGGAGTCGAGCAGAACAGAACACAATAAGCACAAACCTGAACACTGGAGACGTATCTAACTCATGCTAAGAAGCAAGCAAAGTTGTGTCCTGTAATTCAGGGAATGCAGACTTGAGCTTTTCTGCACAGAACGCAACAACAGCACATTGTTGTCGCTTTGTCACGGATTAAAAAGTGTTTCCTACTTCCCCTTACAGCTACTACTATTTTTCTAATGACGTAAGTCTGATGTCAGCTTTATGGCTCACATAAATGTAGTCATAAAGTTGTACCACAGTGACAGAAATCCTTTTAACCATAATAAAACTACTGTCTTAACGAGAATAATGTTATCAACTACATTATTGCAGCCAGTCAGGATTTAGGAGCAGCATCCTCATGCGGACTCGTCTTTGTTGACCTATAACTTAAGGTGGACTTGAGCCTCGTAGATGTGCCTTCTTCAAATTGTTTACGAGCTTATTCAGCTGCACCAAGTGCGGGTTATGACCAGGATGTGTACAGACACAGCTCCAGACGCTGGAATTCACTTTCCTCTAATAACTGCTGACTGTGGATTCCCAGGAAACACGGTCTGATCAATGTCAGCGTGTCTGAAGAGCAGCATTCACTTTAAGTGTTTTATGAGCCGGACGAGCGCTTGAATGTTGTTCACAGTGTCCACGTTAAATACGACTTTGTGATCCGTTTTATATTTGTGTAAATATGAACGGCATTCTATGGGTTAACAGAAGTTTAAAGTTTTTAATCAACCCCCTTTACGCCTGCGCTGCACCCTAAGGTGAAATCAGATGGATGGCATGTTCTCACAGGTTATCTATGGAGTCAGTCGAACCGTGTAATTCACCACTCCCCACTTCATTCTTTCCTACGACATGTGATGAGCTGCATGTTTAATGTGTGAGCCTGAGGCGCAGTTTTCCTGTCTATTTCATTTTTATAGAAATTCCATCGAGGAGTGACTGTGGTGCTACAGATGGGCATTTCCAGGCAGACAACATCGTCATCATTTCATCATTTCTTTCAGTGGAAATCCAAGCGGAAACTTGCTGTTATCATGTGTTTGGGTCTGGAGTGCAACCAAGTTAATCCTCCTGTGACGTTATTGTATTTCAGATGTGTGTCCTCATCTATTATTGACAGCTAGCAAAAAAAAAAAAGTATATTTATCCCGTTTCATTTTTGGGATTCTGTTTGTAACTGAAGCGCAGCCGGAGCTCATGTTGTCTTTGTTTTTCACCGGTTGGACTGCCAGCATCCAGTTTTGCACCATGACTGGCTAATCCCACCCTCTGTATGGAGGACAGACATCCAGCCAGTGTCCACAGGCATTTGCACCCAGCGCTCGGCAGCATTTTCCTGCGCACCAAACTCAAATTCAAACAGGGCATAATGGAGAATTTAGTCCCCTTTTCTACTGCACACAGCACCTCCTAAGAGTATTAAGCTGAACTCGAAGCACACGAAAAAAAATGTGTTCTCAGATGGTGAAGGTGCTGATTACTGTGGTCACCAGGGAGAAGCTGGCCGGTCTCAAAGAGTCCTTTATAAGTAGGTTTTAACTAGTTAGTTAACCCTCTTGTGAAACGTACTGCACGCAGGCTTTCTCAATACACATGAAAGTTTAGTCAGAGCTCCTCGGTGGAAACTGAGCAATGCTTGTGTTATTTCTTCCCCCGTCCCTCCTCTACGACCCCACTGCTGGCTGCTTTGACCTGATCAGACACTTGGCACACCTGCACAAGCACATATACAGCAAGGAAGACAGGCCCGGTTCAAACATGACACGCTCGCTGACTCGGATGGAGTTCGTTAAGGACAGGAAATGACAATCAGAGGTTGAATTTGTGCTTTAAACAGACTGTTGGACACTGTTGCTGTAAAGGTCTGAGACTGAGACTTTTAACCAGTACACTAAAAGAACAACATGAAAAATGTAAAATAATTACTCAGAATAACGGCCAAAGCTTGGAAATATGCAAACCCATCAGCGCAGAGCCTCCTCTCTGAGCATGTGCAGCAATTTTGATCAAACAAACAAAAACTGCTTTAATTTCATTATTAATTTTCTTCCTTTGGCAGAAACGTGTCACCAAATGTTAACTATACCTCTTACATAAGTTCTGCGGTTTCTGCGATTATTAGCAGGATGTATTTATTGTTGGTTTCACCTTTTAAAGGAATGTTTTAATTATATTGCAAAGGAATGTGCCAGAGTGAGATTTACAGGAACCAAAAATGCCATTTACGCAGTTGACAGTTGGCCAACGTGCACGATGGAGCTTCAAATTTCCTCATATGTGGTAAATTAAACCTTTAAATGGGAAACCAATAGTCTGTGTGTATGATTTTTAAAATGTAGTTCATAAAATATTGCATTTTTAAATGTAGTTACATGATTATCAGTGTTAAATTGTACTTTATAAATGAGACAACAAGCAAATATTCCCCTTTACGTTGTCGTCTCTGTTGTTAAATAGCTTTCAAGCAAGGTTACGTTATCTTAAACCTAAAATAAAGAATCACACAGCCTTCTACAATAGGAGCTCTCATGCTGCGCTGACCTGAGATCGCCTTCAGTCTCCCATGCTTACACTTATCTTTAATCTAGAGATAAGGCTTGGCTTAACCTAGTAATGGGCAAACTCTGTGCCAAGGCCTTGCATAACACATACCAGCTGCCTCTTAACATAGAAAAACACACCAAAGTTGGATAACACCAAGCATCATATTTACAGTTACAGCGTGACCTGGTCTGTTTGTAGATGATCTAAATCAGGAAACAAGGACACCAGACAAACAAAGCAGCCGCCCTGGAGGGGATCAGTCAAAGAGGCAGTTTGGAAACTTATGAAAGTCACCTTTTTCCAAAACTACAAAACTCCCTCTAACACATGGAGGGTTTGTTTCATGGGTCTAAAAACGAAAGCTGTTAAAGTGAACGAGCTGCTGAGACTCGTCTGTTTCATCTACTTCTTTTTTTTTTTTTTTCTTCACTTCATGTAACACGTTTTTTTTTTTTCTTCAGTGGCTCCAGTCACTGGTCAGCGCTACAGTTTTAGACAATGACTGCGACGCCAAACTCCAACTCAGTGTCCAAGTCTCCACAAACCCTGAGCTTCAAAAGCATCAGGAGTGCTTTAAATGATCACAAAATGAAAACTCTACAGGGTTTGGATGGCACCTGAATAGACACACAGAGAAGGAACTTTACATCCGTCTGGTTCTCTCCTGCTCTCTGTGCTCATGTACACTGCATTTAAACACAGCCCAACACCCAATAAAGCCGCTCTCATGTACAGATGTTTTCTGTGCAGCTCACACATGTTAAGCAAGCTGCTGCTAAAATGCAGATTTTAAATCACTGCGATGTCGTCTGACAAACTCAGGACACACAGACGCTGAAGGTGACAGCTGGGGACTAATTATGGCTGGACATTAGTAGGTTCTGAATAATTAGCTGCACTTCTTTAACTTTTTTAATGGTTGAAGGTTTAATTAGAAATTTGGATTTGCCTAGTAGTTGCACTACTTACTGAAAAACTAAGCCCTCTTTCTTTATTGTCATTTTGGACTTTTTAGTTTAACTTTTTAATATGCAAGCCTTTGTTTACATGTGTGCAAACAGTTTGGCAAAATGAAATATGCATGAATAATAAATAATCATTTTTGCTCGTCTTAGGAGGAAATTAGTCTTTTTAAGATAACCAACTGGGCGTCATGAGCCACGGTTCAGTTTGTCTGAATGGAGCCCTGCTGGTATTATAGTCGTGAAGGATAATTCTTCAGATGACTTCAGGGGAATGATGGACACAGACAGGACCTTGGGATAAAACAAAGCGGATTAGCGGGGTCAGTGGGTTGGGCTGCTGCCTCGCACTGATGTTGGATCTGCAAACAGCTGACGGCATATTGTTCAACCAGCAGCACTTTCACGGTGTTTTCTGATTACAACAGAATAAAAACCGACCCAGACCCGCCTCGCATTTTAGGATATTTATCTAAACTTATTCTGCTTGTGAATGAACACAGCGGCTAGCTGGCTGGACAAAGTTACCTGGTAGGGGGGCGGTGGCTCCTGGTCGGGGTCAGCTCCGTCTCCGTAGCTGGCCCGGTCCGACTGAGACTCGTGTAGCAAAGAAATGTCATCCGATGTGGGAGATTTCAGACAGTTTCCCATCTCCTCCCTCTTCGGTCAAACTACTCTCCTGTCGTCGGCTAGCGGGTCACTTTCACGGCGTCGAGACACACAAACACACACACACACACATATGCACACACACGCTCACTCACACACACACACACACAGCTGACGGGTCTCCGCTCCCAGACGACGGGAGGGCTGCTCGGCTCAACAACAACAAAACATCGCTCGGCTAGCAGCTAGCCACACAAAGAGCTAGCCGTTGCTAACAGCAGCTAGCACTCGGAGCGGAGCATCTACTCGGGGGGAAATCGCGAGCAGAGGCGGCCTCGCGGAGTCGTACGCCCGCGGCGGAAGCGAGGAGAGGAAAGCGTTCGCGTCGCTCGTTTAAAATGACAACACCGACCGCCGTTTCTCGCTGCCCGGGACCGCTCCGGCTGTCAGGGACTTTCCAGTTTACAGGCAGGCAGCTGCTCACAAAATGTGGGGATGTAGCAACCACGGAGCCCCGCCCCGTCTGCCCCACGCAGCCAATCGGCGCTCGGCTTCATTAAGGGCGGGCAGCCAATCAGGCCGCGCGATCACATTGCCCTTCGCTAAAAACATAAACACGGGGCTAAATCGATAAATGAGTCTTTGTAACAGCAATTCCAGGGCATTTCTGCTCTGCCCTTTAAAAAATAACTCACTTTTATTCATTTTTCTTGCCCGTCAGTTTGTGTATTTTCAATTAAATATGTCATTAATCCGTGGCTGCCTTGCATATCAACAAAATGCATCTGATGGACTGGATGACACGAGCAAGCAGAGGCTCTTTGTTCTGTGAATGACGCCACTTTGTGCTCTACACGTTGTATTTCCAGTCTGTTGTGCTCTGATGGCAAAAGAAAAAAAAAAGGACAACACAAAACCATTTGTTTAGTTGCTTATCATTTCATCTTAAATTACAACAGAAACATTCAGTATGTACAGGAATGTCATTCTGCTCGGTGGTAGTCATGCCCAGTAAAATATGCAGATTGTAAACATCACATCGCCACTATAATTTGGTTAGAATTTCTTTTTTTTTGGCTACATGTGTAAAACCAAAAAAAAAAAAAGAAAAGAAAAAAATTATTTACTATAAAGCAAAAATGTGATTTGTTATTGAAAATATTCTGAAGAGAAACTGCTGTTAGAACAATAATACATTTCCTCCACCACCACAAACACAAATTTAAACTGACTCCTAATCATCAGGTTGAATTGAAATCCTCACTCTGGTCATGAATTAATCAGCAGTGCTCTAATTCCAACACTTGAGACTCCACCTGAGTTTTCTAGGCTTTGTAGCCGGCGCTCAGCCTTTCCAAGAACCCGACCGCCAACCTCTTTTTTTTCTTCTTCTTCTAGTTGTTCATATACAGATTACTATTTGATACAGGATGTGGTTATAATCTTCAAGTGCTTCTATAGGTGGTTTCTATTCGAGCATGCCTGATACAGGAGCAGCGGCGAGCGTTCACAAAGCAGGAAGGACTGTGGCGGTTGCACTGGTTGCACTGGAGCTTCTTCACCTACTAAAGATGCAGCAGGCGGACAAGCGCGCAGGCCTCCGCCGCTCACCGTGAATGGCCTGTTTGTTCAAGCTCAAGTACTGCTGGAGTCTGTCCCACACGCCAGGAGGAGAAAAGGAGGGAGTCTGCCTTTCTAAAAGACACATTCATCTGTCCTCTTAAAACGGGACAATTTGTGTAAAAGGTGCCATTTACAGTATATAAATGTAAAGAACAACTCTCACTGCAAGTCTTACAGGCGTTTTTTTTTGTTTTTTGTTTTTTTCCTTGTTGACTCTGGAGAGTTTGCATGTCTGCCTGATTTACAAAGCTCTGTGCAAAAGCCACAAAATGTAACCGCAAATACCAGACTGTAGATTTGATCATTTCTTCGGAAGGAGAAGGTGTGATAGCGTTTCACAAAAATAAACCGGCGTCTTGTTCCACGGAAAGGAAGGAAAACGTACAGTGCACAACAATATGCTCACTCACTCACTCGTTCACTCAGACAAACATTTTGAGGTGCAAAAAGGCGAATCAGACATTCTGCATCTTATTTGGTCGTATTGGTTTTGATCAAAGACACATCATAAAAGGATTAATCCTGACGATGTGACGGATACCTGGTGTCATCAAATTAATAATCTATGCTTTGTATTACACAGGAGAAGCGGGACGGCTTTGTAGAGGTCAAATGAGGCTGCTGGCTGGGCGGAGCGAGTGTCAGTCATTTACAGGGAGGCGGTGCTCGGGCTCCATCACCCCCAGTACCATGCATGAGGCACAATTATATTCCATCTGACCTTGTTTATCTACCCTACTGCGCCCCTTATGGGTGGCCACTGTGCTAATCAAAGCCAGCTAGAAGCAATGTTTTATAAATATAGGCACATTTCTCAATTAATCTCTATTTAAAACCACATGAGTAGGTGAAGTTCATTATATCTTTATAAGAGGGCACAGTCGATCCATCGAAGCCGGTCGGGGGGCCACGCAGAGCCGCAGATGCCCTCCAAGGTGGCGCGCACACAAGAAAAAAACAAGCCTCCCTCTTCTCCTACCCTCTCGATGAAAAAACAAATCGCCCGCCCTGATAGGCAGGGCTGGTCTGAGTGTTGCATTGTGGGACTACAGACACAGAACGCTGCCTCTGCCCTCGGGTGCCCTCCTCTGTCCGTTACGGGCTGGAGGGCACGTGGATGCCGTTCTCCCGGGCTCCCTTGGCCTTGTGCAGAGCAGCCTGTATGCGGAAGTGTGTCCGTGATTCCATCGAGTAGTTTTTGTAGTTTTGCCTGGAACACAGCGAGAAGAGTCATTTACATCAAACTAAACCCATAAAAATACACACTGAAGTCTAGTCAACCTTAAAGAAAACTATGTCTTTTATTCTAAGGCGCAATGTACAACAAGAGGGTCGATATTTACTTTAAAATGTCATAAGTTTTAGCTTGTAGTTAAACATTATGGGTCATTCTATATAAATGTGACAAAAGTTCCAACCTGACCTCCTCAAAATCAGCTGATATTTTAAGTGCAACAACGTCAGTGTATTTATTGAAGTCATGCAAAGTTTAACCTTCATACTATGAGTATTTTCAGAGTCACAGGCCCTCGACGTGTATAGAGGTGGGTTTTTTTGCTTTTGAGGTCGCTTAGTTTTTTTGTCCCCTCAGCTGTTTTGTGCTTCATAAGTTCATAAATACAGAAGACAGACTCGTGAAATTTTCAGGGGTGAAAAACACATTCGAGTTCTGTGGAAAACTGGAACCAAATCAAATTAGAATCCATCCCAGGTTTCACAATTTAAAGCCAAAATCTCATTAGTTCACTGGAGGAAACCTCTGAAAGTGCATTTTGGCTAAATCAGCACGTGTGCTGGTGGTTGGTCGAAACAAGTTCTAGACAATGAAAGGATCTTTTTTATCTACGTTTGACACCAGGAACATCTTCGAGACACGATTCAGTCTGTGTCAAAACTACTTCCTAATATATGCATATTTTAACACCTGCAGAATGTACATTTTGAGAGTCGCTTTACTGAAGGAGGAAAAACCATGATGACCTCCTGCAGCATCATTTTCCTGCTCCATAGAAAAGACAAGTGTTGGATACCAAGATTACACATTACCATTGTTGTTCATAGACAGAACAAACTGACAGAACCAGAACTGAACACTATCAGAGGAGAATCTGAAAGACTCAAACAAGCTCTGAATGCTGCAGACTGGTTTGATCAATGAGATTCGTCCAAACTTTAATTTAAAAAAAACAAAACATGTGAACACTGACGTCGTTCCTCCATTTCACAGGCATAACTATAACTATATGAGAAAATTATTTAGACCTAGAAGGAATCATGTCTAGAAGATGATCCTGGTATCAAATGTGGGTAAAAATGGAAGTTTACCCAGAATGCACTTTTTTGTAGTTTTCTCCAGTGAATTATTAAAAAACAGAAACAGATCCAGGGTACTGATGATTGTTCCTATGACACAGATGTTAAACTGCTGCAGTTTTGCTGTTAAAACTATAATACATCCCATAATATTGATGCTCAAATTATTTTATATAACAAACATGATATTTTGTGTTTAGACGGTGACACCTGAAGCGGATGTGAAATTAATTTGGTTGCAACTAAAATGTGTTTTTGTGTCTATCTCTTGTATTTATGAAGTTTTGAGGGAAACAACATGAATTTAAAAGCAGGACATTTCAAAACATCCATCCATCATCTCTACACCTTAATCCTCACTAGGGTCATGGGGGGCTGGAGTCTATCCCAGCTGACTCAGGGTGAAGGCAGGTTCACCTGGACAGGTAACCAGTCTATCACAGGGCTACGCTTAACTTACACCGGGACACGAACCGGCAACCTTCTAGCTGTGAGGCAACAGTGCTAACCACTGCTCCACCTTGCAGCCCCATTTCAAAACACTCCTATGTATTTCGAGGGCCTGCAGGTCTGAAAGTATTCATAGTGTGAAGGTAAAACTTTGCATGGCTTCACTAAACACACTAAAGTTATTGTGCACAATAAACCAGCTGATTCTGATGTGGTCACGTTAAATAACTTTAATGCATCGGAACCGTCATGTAGAATCTGAGCAGGCAAATGGATTTTTAACAAGCTTCTCCAGATGACTTTCATATGTTCTGCTGGTTTAAAGACTTACTTTGCAGTTTCTAGGAGTTTGATGGCTTCATCTCGTCGGCCTTGCTCCAGACACAGCAGCCCGTGCTCCAGCAGAGCGTTAGGAACCAGGTAGTGGTCGTACTTGATCTGAGTCTCACTGCACACAACGAACAAACACGACGGCGGACGAACAAAGATTCCCTTTAAATCTTCTTCATTATTCAAAGCTGAGCTAAATGTCAGCACCAGCAGGAGATAATTAAATCAGGCTAATTGGTGATGCGTGCAGCAAGACGACATCATTTCTGGTTTGGTTTTTATCCGCTCATGTCTTGGGGACTTACTTGCAGAGGACGAGGGTGAAGTAGTGTTCGGCCTCCTCTTGGTGTCCCAGGTGTTTGAGACAAAGTCCCTTCAGGAGGCTCAGCAGACACTGATCATCGATGGAGAACTCCGTCCCTGACAAACAGCGAGGACAAAACCGCACAACGCTAAGTCTGGACGAACATCCTCGATAATCACATCTGCACACAACATCCTTTTCTAACATGCTCGAATTCAATTAAGGATCTGTGAAGCATCAAACACATTTGGCTGATTCCCTTCAGAGGAAAATAAAATTAGAATTTTATTCCATTAGAATGATCTTTGTGAATGTGGTTAATGCATTAGCGTACTTGGGATGCTTTCGAGCTTGGCCTGCGCCTCGTCCAGTGTTTTCAGCATGCCCTCGGTCAGGTCTTTGTGTTTGCCGATGACCGTGTAGCCGTTCCAGATGTACATCATCTCCTA